CAATATCAGTAGGTTTTTTCACAGGGCATATGCCCATGCCTTCTCAACACACTCTTGAAAAATACATTTTCATCTTGGATCATGTAAAATATAGTTGGTTTTATTTTTTTTTTCAAATGGGGAAAGTTAGTGGGGGGGGGGGGGGGGGGATGGGTCTAAACAGGATGATCAAATGGGAAAGGGGGGGGCATAGGCGTAAACGGGTTGATTACAACATAAGTCACGTGTGTCTCATCCAGCCAATGGGGTGAGGTGTTATTAACCTCTGATGGACAGAGTCCAGCGGTGAGTGAAGATAAACAAACCACCATATCACGTGACAGCCCATTACACCACGTGACAAGCAATTAAATCTGGTGACAGCCACAAATCAAGATGACCAGCCAGAAGTGAACATGGGGCCCGTGAGCCAGATTTTGGGGCCCGTGAGCCAGATTTTGGGGCCCGTGAGCCAGATTTTGGGGCCCGTGAGCCAGATTTTGGGGCCCGTGAGCCAGATTTTGGGGCCCGTGAGCCAGATTTTGGGGCCCGTGAGCCAGATTTTGGGGCCCGTGAGCCAGATTTTGGGGCCCGTGAGCCAGATTTTGGGGCCCGTGAGCCAGATTTTGGGGCCCGTGAGCCAGATTTTGGGGCCCGTGAGCCAGATTTTGGGGCCCGTGAGCCAGATTTTGGGGGCCCGTGAGCCAGATTTTGGGGCCCGTGAGCCAGATTTTGGGGCCCGTGAGCCAGATTTTGGGGCCCGTGAGCCAGATTTTGGGGGCCCGTGAGCCAGATTTGACCGTCTGGGGAGGGGATGTCAAGGTCAAGGCTGAAAGCTTTGATCAGTTTTTTTTTACAATAGTTTGACATCTGCTGAAATCAGCGAACTGTTAAACAGGTGACCTCAATTTGTTATAGGATAATTAAGTGGCTTCCATCTGTTATAGTATACAAGGTCTAGATGTCATGTCGGTTTGTCATGTATTCTGTCATCATGTCATCTTGGTCGATACACTTTCTGCCAGTAAAAGGTCATCGTGCTTGTGAAGACCTACCCTACTCCACCAAGCGAGAATCCCTGAAGACCTGTATACTTAACATGTCTTAACGTGTCTTAGAAAGAGACCAAGGTAAGCTTTATTGATGATGTCAAAAGTTCTGAAAATAACCTGCACATGTGGCCTTGACCGTGGCCTTGACCTCGACTGACGCGTCGATCAGGAACATGGCGAAACAGAAACAAATATGGTTTTTTTACTTTCTCGTATACAGAGCATAGTGAGAGTATTATATAATTATGCAAAAAAAAAATTAGATTTTGACTATTTTCGTCTTTTTACACCTTACTTTATACGGAATTTAAAGGATGTCTTTGTAATCGTGCAAAAATTTTTAAAAATCTAAAAACGAATTTTTTGACGCAGTTTGGACGTTTTACAACCTGTCGGAGCCTGCAAAATTCATTTGCAATCCTGTCCAACTCCGTATGTCATCGCGATAACTTGAGTACCTTTTCATTTTGATGACGAAATTTCATGTATAAGGCTCTAGTTTTGCATCATACTTTGAGTGATTTCCGGTAACCGGAAATGGTACTTACTCTACTTTCGGTTTCTCAAAGGCAGATAACGTGAACACCATTTAAGTTAGGTTGACGAAATTTCAAATATTTCATATGTAACTTTAAGATCTTATACTTGGGTTAATTTCAAATTTTTTTAGTGACTCCCCGATATCTGGAAGAGACTATTTTTTTCTATAAGCAAAACCATAAGTACAGTTTCAGTAACGTAGATGAAATTTCATACATAGGTATCAGATCTTACTCTCTTGATTCCTTCAAATTTGAATAATTTCCGACGACCGGAATTAGTACTTTACGTTTATCTCCAATTTCTAAAAACACAAGACCAATCATTTTAAAGTGCGCTATTCTTTTTTTCTAAGCAATTCTATTTTATTTAAAGTGTGTGTAAGAGAGCTGAAAACTAGAGGTTTAAAATAGGGATTTCGTCCCATTTCCGATTTCTCAAAGAATTTCTGAATTTAATAATTTTATATCATATTCTCGTGAAGCATATTCTAAGAAATTTTCATTTTCCGTGTATTTAAAAAAAAACAACTATAATGGGTCGATATTTGTCACAAGCACTGTTTCTATTTTCCTTTTGTACTGAAATTGCCTCCCCTTACTGTTATAAAAAATTATACGAGAAAATTTATGGGCGATCACTCCCGCTTTATTATCAATGTCAATACTATATAGTACTACATCTAGATCTTTTAAAACTGTAACTTCGACCATTATATTTTTAAAATAATATTAAATACTAAAAAGTAGGGGACAGGACATGTAGAAAAACCTTAAAATAATCAGCTTTTAAATGCACTACACTTTAAGTAAGAAAATAGTCTCTAAACTGGAAACTAATTTAAAGATGATTATCTAACGTTGGTCCTCTGTATTTCAAGGGATGTTGATGCTCTATGATCCCATGTTTCTAACCCTGCTTATCCTGTGATGTACAAGGAAGTTGATGATCTATGACATCCCCCCCTCCCCCGGATCTGTCTCCTGCTAACCCCTAGATGTTCAGAGCCAACCAGGCCAATTTGCAGACGACCTTGTAATACTTTCATAGCTAGATCAATCTCTGATGAAAACCACAAACTGCTGGAGGCAGAAAAGAAAATCCATCAAGTTTGGAAAAACCCGACCGAGCGTCGACCCAGCGTCAGACGATAATTTATTTCCGTGTGACATCCGTCACGTCAAGCAGGAATAATTTCCTTGCCTTGTATCGATGTGTTGGTGAATAAAGAAATGGCCACTAGTTGCTTCCCCTTGTCGGAGTTTTCTCCCTTTTAATACATTAACTATGTATAAATTAGGAGGGGGAGGGGGAAATTAAATTACTAAAGACATCCAGTCAGAAGATCGAAATCTATTTATGGCTAGATCTGTATTGATTTTTGTTACATAAAAAGGGTTAAGCTATCGACTACACGGGGGTGAACTTTTAATTATCTGCCGCCAAATGGCGTAAGTCGGTTTATATTGCGGTATTAGCGCTGGGTACTCGATCGATGCTGAGTCGTGAGCCAATTCGTTTTTTAAGTTGGTCAGTCAACCCCTGCCTGTGTCGTCACCTCCCCTGACTGTCGTCACACGCACACACACTGGAAGTCGTCACACTGTGTTCTTTTTCACACCCCCCCCCCCCACACACACACACCCACCCCGTGGGGTTTTCATTATCTCTCATGTGCAAAAGTGTAATCGTCAACTTGTGTCGAGTTTATGTCGTGCTGTTTTTGTTCTTGTGTTTTAGTATATGCCCCAATATATGTGCCCTTGTATATGCCCCTGTATGTACCCCAATATATGCCCCTGTATTTGCCAGTCTAAATAGTTAAAAAACGTGTTATGAACATAAAAAAGTAACTATGGGGAAGCGTACATATTAAAACAAAAAATGAACACCACCCTTCAAAATAATAAGTACAATATGATTAATATGAATGAGCAAGAAATTTTTAAATACGTATGTCAGAGGGCATCCAACCATCCTAAAAGGCATAAATGTTGCAAAAATATTTGAATTAAGAATTATATATAAACTTATATACTGCTAATGTATACCGTTAACCCCCAATATCACGCAAGTTCTTATGGTTACTGTAGCACGCCTTTTCTAAAATGTATATCTGTAACAATGGTTACTGATGTAGTGCAGGTATAATCAAGTCATATGACATCATGTCTATATTTAGCTGATACGCCCTAGGCAAATCTGGTTTTTTATGTTTCCCAAAGTAGAAAGCAATAATTTTTTATTCGCCATTAATTTGTCTTTATAAGAATAACTTATCTGCTTTATCTGAAGGCTGGGATCTGCACGCCAAATCAATAGTTAGGGCAGGGTGATCTTACGGGGGTTGGGGGGGGGGGGGGGGGTAGAGGGGATGGAGTGATAGATGTGTGGGCTAGGGGCGATCGGACAGGGGGGGGGGTATTAATGGTGATAGTGGTGATAGGAGTGATGTGACAAGGGTATTATAGGGTGGGATACTGGAGGGGGGGGGGCTAAATGTGGAAACTATGGTAGATGGGCGTGATTCAGTGAATAGGATGAAACAGGGGGGGGGGGGGGGGGGTGGAGGTTGGCCTGGGGTCAACAAGTGCATTCTTGCACCTAAGACAAACAGGAAAATAGTTGATACCTTGTAACCTTAGTATGAAACCTACAGCACGTAGTTCTCATATTTATATCTATCCATAGCCATTTAAACGTCAAAGTATGGCTTTATGACATTCAAAGTATCCAAGTGAGGAAATTGCGATTGTGTGGATCAACCCCCCCCCCACACACACACACACACATTGGGTCTAGGTGTCTCAGTCCCCCCCCCCCCCCCAGTCAACCTTGCTCACGCCATTGATTACACAACAAAATTATGTAAGAAGTGTGAGCAAAACAATAAAACCAGATGCTTGAGTGAGTTTATGTAATCAATGATAAAATGTGACATGAGTTTATGTAATCAATGGTAAATGTCCACATACTAAACTGACACCATAAAAAGACAACATGTTGGCCTAATTGTAATAGATAAAAATTCCTACACAATTGTAACATCCAGAACATAGAAATACTGAACATATTCACAAATTCAGGAATATTTCATATATTAAACAATCAATCTAGACTTCACGTTTTATATGTTTAAGAATCTGTTATAATCTTTAATAAACCATTACATGAGAAATGTACAATTGTGACACCAAGACATACATTATATCATGCTTCAAGGGGCAGTCTGACATTAAGACATAATGTTTGACACTGTCATACTACAGAAGTCAGAGGTCATGGAACAAAGAGTGTAATACTATTAGCAAATGACTGACATAATTAATGACATAACTACTGACATGACACAGTAGCGACTACTACTGTTGTTCACCCCCTCCTCTAAGAGCCCAATCCCACCCACACCCACACTGACCACCCCCACACCCACACACACTGACCACCCCCACACACAGATCTAATAAAAATCCTCCTCATCCTCCCCGTCCCCTGCCTTGACCTGGTTCTGGATCTGACTCTGGTTCTTGTACATCTCAGCCACCTGAAACATACATTAAGGATTCATTAGCCAAACTCATTAACATTAGCCAAACTCATTATCATTAGCCAACTCGTTAACCATGGATTCATTAGCCAAACTCATTATCATTAGCCAAACTCATTATCATTAGCCAACTCGTTAACCATGGATTCATTAGCCAAACTCATTAACCATGGATCCATTAGCCAAACTCATTAACCAAGGATTCATTAGCCAATCTTGTTAACCAAGGATTCATTAGCCAAACTCATTAACCAAGGATTCATTAGCCAATCTTGTTAACCAAGGATACATTAGCCAAACTCATTAACCATGAATCCAGAGGGATGGAGTGGTCTAGCGGTAGAGGGCTGGATTGCTAACCCATAAGTCTCGAGTTCGAATCCGGGTTCAAGTCAGTAGACTGTCCCTGAGTCCACCCAACTCTGATGGGTACCTAACTAACGCTAGAGAAAGTAAAGGCGGCTGGGCATTGTGCTGACCACACTATCTCTTCATATGCCGAGGTCACAGAAACAAGTGAACTCTACTTCACTTGCCCAAACTCATTAACCATGAATCTAGTTTTAATGAGTTTGCATAATGAATATCAGTCAAACTGGTTATAACAGGTTTTATAAGTCAAATAAATTAACCAGAAATTCATTAGCAAAATTCATTAGTACTCGTCACTGCTGGTGAAGCTTATTTACATAATAAAGTCTCAAGGTTACACTAAAAAACAAAATTAATTAACACCAGGCAAGGTCAACCATTTAACCTCAAGTAGAATAAATTTTGTCATCTCAAGGGTAGGGAATTTAGCCAACAGTAAAGTTTTTTTTGTCAGCTAGAGGTGTGTAGTGAGGACCACTGTGTAGCAGAGTTTCTTCCAGGCATCTCTTCCGGAGGAGGGGGGGGCAAAGCCCAATGAAAAAATTTTAACGCCCCCCCCTCACGAACGAAATGAAATTTATATAGAAAATATATACTTTTAACAGTGTCCGCCCACTCCGAAGAAAGTCTACCCCCCCCCCCCCCGAAGATTTCAAGTGCCCCACACCTCCCGGAGAAAAAAGTCTGGAAGAAATGCTGCTGTGTAGTGAGGACCACACAGGTGTGTAGTGAGGACCACACAGGTGTATAGTGAGGACCACACAGGTGTGTAGTGAGGACCACTGAGGTGTGTAGTGAGGACCACTGTGTAGTGAGGACCACTGAGGTGTGTAGTGATGACCACTGAGGTGTGTAGTGAGGACCACTGTGTAGTGAGGACCACTGTGTAGTGAGGACCACTGTGTAGTGAGGACCACTGAGGTGTGTAGTGAGGACCACTGAGGTGTGTAGTGAGGACCACTGTGTAGTGAGGACCACTGTGTAGTGAGGACCACTGTGTAGTGAGGACCACTGTGTAGTGAGGACCACTGAGGTGTGTAGTGATGACCACTGAGGTGTGTAGTGAGGACCACTGTGTAGTGAGGACCACTGTGTAGTGAGGACCACTGTGTAGTGAGGACCACTGTGTAGTGAGGACCACTGAGGTGTGTAGTGATGACCACTGAGGTGTGTAGTGAGGACCACTGTGTAGTGAGGACCACTGAGGTGTGTAGTGAGGACCACACAGGTGTGTAGTAAGGACCACTGAGGTGTGTAGTGAGGACCAATGTGTAGTGAGGACCACTGTGGTGTGTAGTGAGGACCAATGTGTAGTGAGGACCACTGTGGTGTGTAGTGAGGACCACTGAGGTGTGTAGTGAGGACCACTGTGGTGTGTAGTGAGGACCACTGAGGTGTGTAGTGAGGACCACACAGGTGTGTAGTAAGGACCACTGAGGTGTGTAGTGAGGACCAATGTGTAGTGAGGACCACTGTGGTGTGTAGTGAGGACCAATGTGTAGTGAGGACCACTGTGGTGTGTAGTGAGGACCACTGAGGTGTGTAGTGAGGACCACTGTGGTGTGTAGTGAGGACCACTGAGGTGTGTAGTGAGGACCAATGTGTAGTGAGGACCACTGTGGTGTGTAGTGAGGACCACTGAGGTGTGTAGTGAGGACCACTGTGGTGTGTAGTGAGGACCACTGAGGTGTGTAGTGAGGACCACTGAGGTGTGTAGTGAGGACCACTGTGTAGTGAGGACCAATGTGTAGTGAGGACCACTGTGGTGTGTAGTGAGGACCACTGAGGTGTGTAGTGAGGACCCCTGAGGTGTGTAGTGAGGACCACTGAGGTGTGTAGTGAGGACCACTGTGTAGTGAGGACCACTGAGGTGTGTAGTGGGGACCACTGAGGTGTGTAGTGAGGACCACTGAGGTGTGTAGTGAGGACCACTGAGGTGTGTAGTGAGGACCACTGAGGTGTGTAGTGAGGACCACTGTGTAGTGAGGACCACTGAGGTGTGTAGTGAGGACCACACAGGTGTGTAGTAAGGACCACTGAGGTGAGTAGTGAGGACCACTGTGGTGTGTAGTGAGGACCACACAGGTGTGTAGTGAGGACCACACAGGTGTGTAGTGAGGACCACTGAGATGTGTAGTTAGGACCACTGAGGCGTGTAGTGAGGACCACTGTGTAGTGAGGACCACTGAGGTGTGTAGTGAGGACCACTGTGGTGTGTAGTGAGGACCACACAGGTGTGTAGTGAGGACCACTGAGATGTGTAGTTAGGACCACTGAGGCGTGTAGTGAGGACCACTGTGTAGTGAGGACCACTGAGGTGTGTAGTGAGGACCACTGAGGTGTGTAGTGAGGACCACACAGGTGTGTAGTGAGGACCACTGAGGTGTGTAGTGAGGACCACTGTGTAGTGAGGACCACTGTGTAGTGAGGACCACTGTGTAGTGAGGACCACTGTGTAGTGAGGACCACTGAGGTGTGTAGTGAGGACCACTGTGTAGTGAGGACCACTGTGTAGTGAGAACCACTGTGGTGTGTAGTGAGGACCACTGTGGTGTGTAGTGAGGACCACACAGGTGTATAGTGAGGACCACTGAGATGTGTAGTTAGGACCACTGAGGCGTGTAGTGAGGACCACTGTGTAGTGAGGACCACTGAGGTGTGTAGTGAGGACCACTGAGGTGTGTAGTGAGGACCACTGAGGTGTGTAGTGAGGACCACTGAGGTGTGTAGTGAGGACCACTGAGGTGTGTAGTGGGGACCACTGAGGTGTGTAGTGAGGACCACTGTGTAGTGAGGACCACTGAGGTGTGTAGTGAGGACCACTGAGGTGTGTAGTGAGGACCACTGTGGTGTGTAGTGAGGACCACTGTGTAGTGAGGACCACTGAGGTGTGTAGTTAGGACCACTGAGGTGTGTAGTGAGGACCACTGTGGTGTGTAGTGAGGACCACTGTGTAGTGAGGACCACTGAGGTGTGTAGTGAGGACCACTGAGGTGTGTAGTGAGGACCACTGTGTAGTGAGGACCACTGAGGTGTGTAGTGAGGACCACTGAGGTGTGTAGTGAGGACCACTGAGGTGTGTAGTGGGGACCACTGTGTAGTGAGGACCACTGTGGTGTGTAGTGAGGACCACTGAGGTGTGTAGTGAGGACCACTGTGGTGTGTAGTGAGGACCACTGAGGTGTGTAGTGAGGACCACTGGGGTGTGTAGTGAGGACCACTGTGTAGTGAGGACCACTGTGGTGTGTAGTGAGGACCACTGAGGTGTGTAGTGAGGACCACTGGGGTGTGTAGTGAGGACCACTGTGTAGTGAGGACCACTGAGGTGTGTAGTGAGGACCACTGAGGTGTGTAGTGAGGACCACTGAGGTGTGTAGTGAGGACCACGGAGGTGTGTAGTGAGGACCACTGTGTAGTGAGGACCACTGTGTAGTGAGGACCACTGTGTAGTGAGAACCACTAGGTGTGTAGTGAGGACCACTGTGTAGTGAGGACCACTGAGGTGTATGTGAGGACCACTGTGTAGTGATGACCACTGTGGTGTGTAGTGAGGACCACTGTGTAGTGAGGACCAATGTGTAGTGAGGACCACTGAGGTGTGTAGTGAGGACCACTGTGTAGTGAGGACCACTGTGGTGTGTAGTGAGGACCACTGAGGTGTGTAGTGAGGACCACTGTGGTGTGTAGTGAGGACCACTGAGGTGTGTAGTGAGGACCAATGTGTAGTGAGGACCACTGTGTAGTGAGGACCACTGTGTAGTGAGGACCACTGTGTAGTGAGGACCACTGAGGTGTGTAGTGAGGACCACTGAGGTGTGTAGTGAGGACCACTGTGTAGTGAGGACCACTGAGGTGTGTAGTGAGGACCACTGAGGTGTGTAGTGAGGACCACTGAGGTGTGTAGTGAGGACCACTGTGTAGTGAGGACCACTGTGTAGTGAGGACCACTGAGGTGTGTAGTGAGGACCACTGTGGTGTGTAGTGAGGACCACTGAGGTGTGTAGTGAGGACCAATGTGTAGTGAGGACCACTGTGTAGTGAGGACCACTGTGGTGTGTAGTGAGGACCACTGAGGTGTGTAGTGAGGACCACTGTGGTGTGTAGTGAGGACCACTGAGGTGTGTAGTGAGGACCAATGTGTAGTGAGGACCAATGTGTAGTGAGGACCACTGAGGTGTGTAGTGAGGACCACTGTGTAGTGAGGACCACTGTCACAGGTTTAAAAGATACTCAGGATGAAACAGCTGGCCTACGGTGTGTGGATAGAATGATAAATAATGGTGGTAACAGCTGGTGGGGAGGGGTGGGGGTGAGGAGAGGAGAAGGTGTGGGCGAGGTTGGGGACATATTGTACAGAAACACCTAGTAAACAAAATACAGAGAAGACAAACAGATCAGAGGAGAATTGAATATTTTTAGGTACAGGGGAGAGAACTAAGGAGGAGGGAGGTAGGGAGAAGAGAGAATGTAATAATTAGAGGACAGGATGCTAGGGATGGGTGTCTAGGCCATTACTATCCTTATAGTAATATAAATTATAGGGAAACCGGCAAAGTATATACATTTGTTTTATCTAGGACATAACCTAACCTTATCCCTAACTAAACCAGAATCCTGTCTCCTAAAGCGATCCTTATCCCTATCCCAATTCCTTCCCTTAGTTCTATCACAAAACCTATCCCTAACTTTGTCCCTCTCCCTAAACCTAACCTTATCCCTGTACTTATCAAAAACCTACCCATAAACATTAGCGTCAATCAGCAATCAACAGGGGGTCATGTTCTATCGTAATTGTTTTGGTAGGGGGGTGATAAAAGGAGGCTATTATTGATAGGGGGTGGGGAAGGTATTCAATGCAACTAAAATGTCAAGGGGGATGACCAGGGGTATAAATGACGGGAGGGGTGGTGGTGTCCAGCTCCGTTTTAAGTTTTAGAATTGTACAGCTAAATCAAAATTGAACAACGCAAATTTTTAAAAATGTCATAAAATTGCCTAGCTCATCATTTATTAATGATTGACTTCACACTGAGCCAGGTTTCTTAACTAATTCCTAGCTCTCAGGCCTTCACAGAATTAATGGGCAATTTACAAAAACATTTTTATTATCAGGTAAGGAGATTAACATGGGATTATCCTCATCTTTATTTTATGCAGATTTAATGGGTGTGAAAAGAGGTTTGATAATGATCCCTTCCTGCTGACAAGGCATTTGTCTATGGTGGCAGTCAGTGACTAACTTGAAGTCTATGGTGGCAGTCAGTGACTAACTTGAAGTCTATGGTGGCAGTCAGTGACTAACTTCAAGTCTATGGTGGCAGTCAGTGACTAACTTGAAGTCTATGGTGGCAGTCAGTGACTAACTTGAAGTCTATGGTGGCAGTCAGTGACTAACTTGAAGTCTATGATGGCAGTCAGTGACTAACTTGAAGTCTATGGTGGCAGTCAGTGACTAACTTCAAGTCTATGGTGGCAGTCAGTGACTAACTTGAAGTCTATGGTGGCAGTCAGTGACTAACTTCAAGTCTATGGTGGCAGTCAGTGACTAACTTGAAGTCTATGGTGGCAGTCAGTGACTAACTTCAAGTCTATGGTGGCAGTCAGTGACTAACTTGAATGGGGTGAGGGAGATAGGGTTCTCATGACACCACCCCTCCCTCTCACCCTCCCCCCCCCCCCCCCCCCAGAAAGATGGGCTCATCCAAAGCCAGCTTGTCTCATTGGTCACACCCTCTGAGGGAGTAATCTGGTGGCCTTGCCATGGTGACCTTGCCATGGTGACCTTGCCATGGTGACCTTGCCACAGATAGATAGAGCAGGATAGAGTTGTGGACTGCTGTTACCAGATTTGGGACAACAGATCCAGTTTCATGCAGGCCATCTCTGGACCTCCCCCCCCCCCCCACCCCCAAACTTTTTAACCTCCCCCCTCCCCCATAGACAACAGATCCAGTTTCATGCAGGCCATCTCTGGACTCCCCCCCCCCCCCCCACCAAACTTTTACCCCCCCCCCCTCCCCCATAGACAACAGATCCAGTGTCATACAAGCCATCTCTTGACCTCCCCCCCCCCCAGTACCTCGCTTTTACCCCACCCCTCTCCTTAAACCATTCCTTGCTACAGCCAACACCCCCCTCCCCCACCTATGAAGAAAAAAACCTAGATGCAAAAAAAAGGGGCCCAATATTTCAGAATTATATAAACGTTGAATGAAACATTAATCTGCAGCTATAAAGTTCATCTATATTTGTAGTTTAAATATATAGTTATATTATCTATAGCTATAAAAATGTATAGTTAAGACATTCATCTATATTTATACTACAACTGCATTTAGAGAGAAAAGGCCCTTACATTCAGGGGAGATCAACTAAATTTAGACAGGTAGGCTGTCTACAGGTAAACTCTCTGTCTACAGGTAAACTCTCTGTCTACAGGTAAACTCTCTGTCTACAGGTAAACTCTCTGTCTACAGGTAAACTCTCTGTCTACAGGTAAACTGTCTGTCTAAACTGCCTATCTGCAGGTAAACTGCCTGTCTACAGGTAACTGTCTGTCTACAGGTAAACTGCCTGTCTACAGGTAAACTGCCTGTCTGTAGGTAAACTGCCTGTCTACAGGTAAATTGCCTGTCTGTAGGTAAACTGTCTGTCTACACGTAAACTCTCTGCCTGCAAGTACACTGCCTATCTGCAGGTAAATTCCCTGCCAGTAGATAAACTCCCTGCTTGCAGGTAAACTCCCTCCCTGCAGGTAAATTAACTTCCTGCAGACTGCCTGCATCTAAACTCCCTGCCTGCAGGTAAACTGTCAGTCTGCAGGTACAATCCCTGCCTGCAGATACACTGCATGTCAACTCCCTGCCTGCATGTCAACTCCCTGCCTGCAGGTAAACTCCCTGCCTGCAAGTTAACTCCCTGCCTGCAGGTAAACTCCCTGCCTGCAAGTCAACTCCCTGCCTGCAGGTAAACTCCCTGCCTGCAAGTTAACTCCCTGCCTGCAGGTAAACTACAAAATGTGCCCTCACCTGTGCTGCCGTGGTGGCATCCTCAGGTTTCTTGTCGTCTCTGATCCTCTGGAACCTGGGGAACCTGAGGGAGATTCCTTTCTGGCTGTCCACCTGTTGACAGGTACAGCAGGTTTAACATCTGGACGTTTAGCAACTAGACATTTAGTTTAACAACTGGATGTTTAACAACTGGACATTTGGTTTAACAACTGGACATTTGACAACTTGACATTTGGTTTAACAACTGGTTTAACAACTGCACATTTGGTTTAACAACTGGACATTTGGTTTAACAACTGCACATTTGGTTTAACAACTGGACATTTGGTTTAACAACTAGACATTTGGTTTAACAACTGGACATTTGGTTTAACAACTGGACATTTGGTTTAACAACTGGACATTTGGTTTAACAACTGGACATTTGGTTTAACAACTGGACATTTGGTTTAACAACTGCACATTTGGTTTAACAACTGGACATTTGGTTTAACAACTGCACATTTGGTTTAACAACTGGACATTTGGTTTAACAACTGGACATTCAGTTTAACAACTTCACATTTGGTTTAACAACTGGACATTTGGTTTAACAACTGCACATTTGGTTTAACAACTGGACATTTGGTTTAACAACTAGACATTTGGTTTAACAACTGGACATTTGGTTTAACAACTGGACATTTGGTATAAAAACTGGACATTTGGTTTAACAACTGGACATTTGGTTTAACAACTGGACATTTGGTTTAACAACTGCACATTTGGTTTAACAACTGGACATTTGGTTTAACAACTGCACATTTGGTTTAACAACTGGACATTTGGTTTAACAACTGGACATTCAGTTTAACAACTTCACACTTTGTTTTGGAACTTTATGATTGGTTTGAAATTATAATATAAACAATTTGACACAACGTACCAGCCCCATGGCAGCCTTGTGAGTGGGGGATATCGACAAGTCTGCCGCTTTGATCTCCCAGACTTGAACCGGTTCAAACCAGTGGTCCGGCTCGTGGGCTGCGTCCCAGGCGTAGTAGGACTTGGGCTTGTCAATGACCTGCTCCTTGAAGAAGTTGTGGTGTTTCTCCAAGTCCTCGTCAGTGAACCCAGTTCCAATCTGGAGGGAAAGGTCAGGTGAATTGTTTCGAGGTTAATGAGTTCAAGGTTAATGAGTTCAAGGTTAATAGTTTCAGGTTTAACTGTTTCAAGATTAATGGGTTCAAAGTTAATTGTTTCAAAATTAATGGGTTCAAGTTTAATTGCTTCAATGCTACTAGTTTTTAAAAAACTGGTTTAAAAGAAACCGGTTTCAAAGTAAGTTGCTTAAAGGTTACTGGTTTTAAGGTATTTAATTTTTAAGAGTAACTGGTTTCAAGGTTAACAAATTTAAACCTAACTGGTCTCAGTGTTACTGGTTTCAAGGTTAAAGTTAACTGGTTTCACAGCTAGTGACATAAAAACCAGTAACTAGTTGTGTGAATAGTGTTCTAGCCTAGTCTGGAACAAATACAGTTCTACATTTTTGTCTGTTCAGTTTTTTCTGGGTACCAAAGTTCCTATTGAACAGATGTTAAAATTTTCATCATAAAACTGTCCATTAACATCTCAGTTAGGCTCATTTTGGGCCCACGTCTGCTCCGCTGGCTGTCAAATTTGGTACAAAGCCAACAAACTGCGAGGCGTTTAATCAACATCAGACCAATGCAAATGATGAAGATATTGATTTCTTATCTCTTTCATTAACATCAACTCATTTTCTTTTGAACTGAACGGCATTAATGGGTTTTTTTTTACAAAAGGTGAAATAATAAACTATGTAGATCTAGATGGGGAAAAGCAAAACTAAATCAAAAATTTTGGAGAACAAAATAAATAAAAAAAACTATTTGAACACTGGATCCAAGTTAGTGCATAAATGAACATTGACAGATTAGTTCATTCAGAATGGAAGGGGTGTGGGGGTGGGATTAATCACTTCATCTGTGTGTGAGTTACATAAGGGATCATGGGTTTCTGGATTTTGCCAGAGTCTGTCATCTCAGAACAGACTAGACCCCCCCCCCCTCCACAAAACCCCCCACCCTTAAAACAGTGAAGATGTGCACCTTGCAGCTTGATTTTCCTAGCTTACCCCCCCCCCTCCACCACCACTCCACTTCACGTCCCCCCTCAAACTGTAGATGTGTACCTTGCAGATTGTTTGATACTCCTCTACCCCCCCCCCCCCAACTCTGCCCCCACTGCCCCTCCACTCCACTTCCCACTTCCCCCCCCCCCCCCAAATGTAGATGTGTACCTTGCAGATTGTTTGATACTCCTCGTTCTCCTCATTGTAACAAGCCAATAAGAACCCTCCATACTTCCCTGTCCTCTTGCCTGTGCCCAGGTAGCCACCAATAACCACCACATCCAGGGTGTCACCCACACCATCCAAGTAGTCTTTCTTTAACTAAAGGGAAGTAAGCAAGCAATTGTTTTATACAATTAAATGAGTTATCTTTCTTAGCATACTTTTTTTTTAATGTAAATGTGATTATAATAAATTATTCTTAGCACAGATCAAATCCATAAATTCTAAAAATATTTAATGAAATATTAACAAAGTAATTTTACATTTTAATTAAATACACTGGTAAGTTTAGATACATTTTTTGGTAGCTGTACCATGGCCAACAATGTAACAAGCATAGCCAACACTGTACCATGATGGCCAACAGTTTAACAAAAAAGTATAAAGTGGCCAACTCACCTTTAACCAGTTGTGAGAACGTTTAGCTATTTCATACGTGGCATCCACATCCAAAGTCTTCACCATGAGACCCTCACAGTTGCCTGGAAATAATTTTTTAACATGTTAATTAATATCTTTTTGTTTTATTTTTATTACTTGATAGCACTCAAGAAAATTTACATCTAAAGAAATTATATTTAAGTACTTGCGTTAAATTCCCTCGCCCTACCTTTAATGGACTCCTCCAGAAAGCCTTCGATCTCCTCCGTGTTTGAGGTGACCATAGACTTGGCGAAGACAAACTCCCCCTCCACCTCCTGGAAGGAGGAGTGCAGGAGCTCCCGTCTCCTCCTGAAGGGCTGGTCAACTAGAGACTCCCCATTCAGATACAGCAGATCAAAGGCATACACACACACCTGGACCTTGATCTGGGCTTCATCAGCATCCTGGGGAGTAGGTACATTGGCATGGCTTAGGATTAGGGCTTAGCTCAGAAGTAAGTTATAATGGTTTGTATAACTTTGCTAGCATAATAAAAACTGCTAACGGATGGGGTTTTTTTATCTTTTAAAGTATGAGACAGCATTATACCCACAATAAGCTAGAGACAGAATTAGACGTACATTACGCTAGAGACAGAATTGACAGAATTAGACCTACATTACTAAGCTAGAGACAGAATTAGACCTACATTAAGCTAGAGACATAATTAGACCTACATTATTAAGCTAGAGACATAATTAGACCTACATTAAGCTAGAGACAGAATTAAACTGACATTAAGCTAGAGACAGAATTAAACTGACATTAAGCTAGAGACAGAATTAAACTGACATTACGCTAGAGACAGATTTATATCCACATTAAGCTAGAGACAGAATTAAACTGACATTAAGCTAGAGACAGAAATAAACTGACTTTAAGCTAGAGACAGAATTAAACTGACATTAAGCTAGAGACAGATTTATATCCACATTAAGTTAGAGACAGATTTATATCCACATTAAGCTAGAGACAGAATTAAACTGACATTAAGCTAGAGACAGAATTAAACTGACATTAAGCTAGAGACAGAATTAGATGCACATTAAGATAGAGACAGAATTAGACCTACATTAAGCTAGAGACAGAATTAGACCTACATTAAGCTAGAGACAGATTATAGCCTCTTTGAGATAGAGCCTCACCTTGCGCTTCCTGGTACTCAACACCTGGAAAGGTAAAATGTGTTTCTTCTCCACGTCCCATGCCACAGCCTCAGCGTCGAGGACACAAGACTTGACGTCTGCTCCAACAACTTTCGGCATCCTTTTGATGATGTCAGGGTACTTAGACGTGTTGTCTTCAGAGTTGCGGCTGTAGATGTGGATCTTGCCGTCCTCCAGGAAATGGATCTGTAGAGTGCCATCACATATAACATCACATTTAACATCACATGTAACATCACATGTAACATCACATATAACATCACAAATAACATCACATTTAACATCACATTTAACATCACATATAACATCACATATAACATCACATAACATCACATATAACATCACAAATAACATCACATTTAACATCACAAATAACATCACATTTAACATCACATATAACATCACATTTAACATCACATATAACATCACATATAACATCACACATAACATCACATATAACATCACAAATAACATCACAAATAACATCACATATAACATCACATGTAACATCACAAATAACATCACAAATATAAATGTATATAAATAGGAAACAATATTTACTTGATTGAATTATCTTAGTATGCTAAAGTTTTCTACAGAACAAAATCCAAGTGATTAAAATTATAAACCACAAAGTAAATTTATTATAATTACTAGCCAAATGAACAAATGAATTGGATCTACCTGCGCTCTCTCTCCATCATATTTGTATTCACAGGTGAAGTCCATGTTTTCAAAACGTTTGAGCACCTCACTGACACCTTTGGTTGGGTGAGCCAACATGGGCCGCAGTGGGATACCTGCATCAGTTCATTACAAAAGGCTTTAGACATTGCTACAAATCTGTACATAACCCTTTCACCACTATTGAGTTGTTTCTCTTGCAATAATAATGCAACTTTTTAATTTTTCTGTTTTTTAAATTCATTAAATAAGAGAACAACATTAACATGTTATTTATTATTCTAGTATTTTTAGCTCACATATTAATCTTTTAAAATTAAATCTAAAGCACTCTACTGTTCGTACTTAAAAAATGAGTTTTGCTACATTTTTTTATGATACCACTCTTTATTCTTGCAGGAGTTATGTTCCTTGTTTTCAGCACAGGGAGTGGGGTTGGAGAGTTAGCACAAAAAGTCAAGGATAAAAAGTGGTGTTGGAGTGTTAGTATTTAAACTAGAAAAATACACAAATTTACAGCTGCATTTAACTGACTTGGTGTGAAAAATTTAACTCATGGCGTAAAAAGTAAAGTTCCCTTTTCAAACCTGACAGTCTATAAGGCAAGTGAAGTAGAGTTCACTTGTTTCTGTGACCTCGGCATATTAAGAGATAGTGTGGTCAGCACTATGCCCAGCTGCCTTTACTTTCCCTAACGTGAGTTAGGTACCCATCTGAGTTGGGTGGACTCAAAGACGGTCTACTGACTTGAACCCGGATTCGAACTCGACACTTACGGGTTAGCTGTCCAGCTCTCTACCGCTAGACTACTCCACCCCTCATGAAGAGTCAGTTAAAATTAAAAATTAGGCCTGGGGTCAGTAGACAACTCACCTGGGGTCAGCTTACAATGTTCTCTCAGATTCTCCAGGCCATGTTCCAGCACTATAGGAATTATGGCGTCGTAGCTGGGTAGCTCACTGTTAGACAAGTGACAAAATTTGTTGGAGAAATAAACATGTACAAACAAAAAGATTTGTTATAGAAATATGTCTGGATGTACATACAACAAAACTTGTTGGAGAAATAAACATCTTAATGTACAAACAACAAAATTTGTTGTAGAAATAAACGTGTCTTAATGTACAAATAAAACAATTTGTTGTAGAAACATGTCTTAATGTACAAACAGCAAAATTTGTTGGAGAAACATGTCTTTGTGTACAAACAACAAAATTTGTTGTAGAAATAAACATGTCTTAATGTACAAACAAAAAACTTGTAGAATTGATGTACAAACACATGGTGTGAGACCTACTCAAGAACAAACTATTCAATGAGTTTTCTTTTTAAAAAAAACAAGGCAGTTGAATGTAGGTCGGGTGGAGGGGGGTGGAATGACTTAATAGTTTTAAATTCCTCACAAAATGTTATTTATGGGTGGTAAATGTTCTTCAGTCAGGTCATCAGAGTAAATTAGAATAGTGGTCATTGGCCAAATGTAAGTTTTGTATGTGCTTTAGTTATAATCAATTTGAAAAAAAAACTAAAATGAAACACAAATGTGAGCTTTTAAATAAAAAGATGTTACAAGGGAGGGGTTGTTTGCAATGTTTTTAATTGATTAAATTTATCTTACCAATATGTTGTTTTAATTGTTAAAGCTGCCTCATCTAACTTTAATTAATTAATTAAATTTATCTTACCAAACTTTAATTAATTAAATAAATTTGTCTTACCAATAAGTTGTTTTAATAGTTAAAGCTGCCTCATCTCACTTTAATTAATTAAATAAATTTGTCTTACCAAACTTTAATTAATTAATTTAATTTGTCTTACCAATAAGTTGTTTTAATAGTTAAAGCTGCCTCATCTAACTTTTTCTTTAATGTTTCTGGTCCAAGACCTTTTCCTGCATCTAAAACAGGGGGAGGGTACTCTGGAAAATATAATGACAAATTCACTAAAACATGGTTATCTTCCCCTAATACAAATTTAAGTCAACCAATTTCCAATGAACACTGAAAGCTTAAAGCAAAAACATTCTACTAAGATCTCCAATACACAACAACAATTTTAGAGAAAATTGTCTGTTGCTCCAAGGGTTATTGGGATTATATCAATACAAATGAAAGGAAAAAATTTGTGCTTTTGAAATATGTTAATCAACACAAACTACAAAATTTAAAAATATCTTTGCTTAAAGCATTTGGTGCAGAATAGCAGAGTATTTTTTTACCAGAAGTGGCAAGCTGATTTACCTTGAGTAGGGGGAGTTAAAAACAGGGCATGACCAAGGGCAGTAAGCACGGACTGTTCCGCCAACCCAATGCGAAGTTTCCCACCAAGTGAGCGGACCAGGTAGCGAGCTTCAGAGTGACGACATGCCACAAACATCCCTTTGATCTTCTCGATTTTTTTAGACATGGCCTGTTACAGAATATATGAAATCATTAACTTTAGTCATGCTAATTAGACACCACCTTTTACAGAACAGAATATCTGAAGTCATTGACTTTAATCATGCTAATTAGACACCAACTTTTACAGAACAGAATATATGAAGTCATTGACTTTAATCATGCTAATTAGACACCACCTTTTACAGAACAGAATATATGAAGTCATTGACTTTAATCATGCTAATTAGACACCACCTTTTACAGAACAGAATATCTGAAGTCATTGACTTTAATCATGCTAATTAGACACCACCTTTTACAGAACAGAATATATGAAGTCATTGACTTTAATCATGCTAATTAGACACAACCTTTTACAGAACAGAATATCTGAAGTCATTGACTTTAATCATGCTAATTAGACACAACCTTTTACAGAACAGAATATCTGAAGTCATTGACTTTAATCATGCTAATTAGACACAACCTTTTACAGAACAGAATATCTGAAGTCATTGACTTTAATCATGCTAATTAGACACAACCTTTTACAGAACAGAATATCTGAAGTCATTGACTTTAATCATGCTAATTAGACACCACCTTTTACAGAACAGAATATATGAAGTCATTGACTTTAATCATGCTAATTAGACACCACCTTTTACAGAACAGAATATCTGAAGTCATTGACTTTAATCATGCTAATTAGACACCACCTTTTACAGAACAGAATATATGAAGTCATTGACTTTAATCATGCTAATTAGACACAACCTTTTACAGAACAGAATATCTGAAGTCATTGACTTTAATCATGCTAATTAGACACAACCTTTTACAGAACAGAATATCTGAAGTCATTGACTTTAATCATGCTAATTAGACACGACCTTTTACAGAACAGAATATCTGAAGTCATTGACTTTAATCATGCCAATTAAGCCTACATCAACTTGATTGTGTAGCTGGTACATCAAAATGTTTTGTAAACACGTTATCAGTGTTCAATGTTTTCATGGTATGGCATCGTTGGGTGACCCTCAGAACCTGTAGAGTGTCCCTAAGTCCACCAAGCCCTGTTGGTTACCTGACAGGTTAGGGTAGCAGAGGCAGTTAGTCATACAACTAACCACACTATCCCATACTATACTGAGTTTAAACAGGTGAACTCTACTTCAACTGCCATATTGATCTTAAGGGCTAAAAGGGTAACCATGTTAATTTTCAGAAAATCTTGTTACTCTAATCCTGTCATCAAGCTTCATTAACCCACAACAGAAAAACCAACCCAACCATGGTTAGATTTCATTTCATTGTTCAGGCAGAAATGTACTTGGTCAAATAACATTTTTAAAATGGAGTAAAATACCTAAACACTTCAACTGTGAGGTCATTCAAACAAGGATTAGTGAGGCTCCATGTCTGATTTGTTAACAACAAAATGCTTTTAAAGTTTGAACATGTGTAAGGCTTTTTTTTAAATAGTCTTGTGAATAAGGACTAAAAATAACTCCATTAGAAACTTTAAAAATTAAAAAAATAAAAACATACAGAGTTTCCTCAACCAAGGCAATCAACAAAACAACTTTACAAACTGGCAGAATTCACACAATAACTTTAGAAACTGACATAGAACCAAGAAAACAACATTACAAACTGACATAGAACCAAGAAAACAACATTACAAACTGACATAGAACCAAGAAAACAACATTACAAACTGACATAGAACCAAGAAAACAAGATAAGAAACTGACTGAGTTCCCAGACATGGAAGCAATGTCCTTGAGTTTTGTGAAGACTGCAGAGACTGTCAGCTTGGGTGGGGCAAACATCATCTTCTGGTTGCTGCGGCTACTCTGTGGTCAAAGGGAAACAAAAAAATGGGATATGTTTCTACTTGTATTCATAACACAAAATTTTACTTGTTACTTTAAACTCTTTTGTAACCAATGTTAAAACAGTAGACACAACTTTTCAAAAGCTGAAAATTGTTTGGAGGGGAGGGGGGCTGTAAATAGGAAGATTAGGTTGGGGGAGGGGAGTTAGTGTCAGTGGGTGGGGGGGGGGGGGGGGGGGGAGGGTCAAGACTTACCTCAGCCACAATGCCCAGGTCACCTTTCTCTTGAGCTTCTTCTTTTATTTTGTCCACATTACGGCCTGGAAAAGGGGCAATAATCAGATTAAAAGTCACAAGTAATCCATAGGATTAAATAATCACATATCATCTATTAGATCAAATTAACTAAGTCAGTAGTTTAATTTACGTAATGTACATTTTTTCAATATAATGGAATTAGTTCAGTCCCAGCCTTCAGGTAGCCCTAAACAAGGTGAGCAGCTCTGGGTTTACCTGTGGCTTGTGCTATGGCCTTCATGAGCACCGTCTCCCCAATGCCCAGCTCCACGCCCTGGTAGGCAGGGGCCAGTTTGTTCAGACACAGGTACACACAGTGCAGCAGGTCGCCAGGGGAGAGAACAATCACAGAGCGGAAGAAGTTGCACATGATTTCTGTCATCTTTAGCCTGAACATTGGGATGTTAAGTTTAAAAACAGAGTTACAGACTAATTTCAAAGTTTAAACACAGTTGTAATAGACTGGGTACATGCAAACAGTGTTGTGTACAGGGGAGTTGGCGAATGTGAGGTTAGGGAATGGGAGGTTAGGGAATGGGAGGTTGGGGAATGGGAGGACAGGAATATAGAGGATGGGGAATGGGAGGACAGGGATATAGAGGATGGGGAATGGGAGGATGGGGATAGGGAGGATGGGGAATAATAGGTTGGGGAATGGGAGGTTCGGGATATGGAGGATGGGGAATAGTAGGTTGGGGAATGGGAGGATGGGGAATGGGGGGATGGGGATATGGAGAATGGGGAATAGAAGTTTGGGGAATGGGAGGTTGGGGATATGGAGGATGGGGAATAATAGGTTGGGGAATGGGAGGTTCGGGATATGGAGGATGGGGAATAGTAGGTTGGGGAATGGGAGGTTGGGGATATGGAGGATGGGGAATAATAGGTTGGGGAATGGGAGGATGGGGAATGGGAAGTTGGTGAATGGGAGGATGGGGAATAATAGGTTGGGGAATGGGAGGATGGGGAATGGGAAGTTGGGAATGGGAGGTTGGGGAATGGTAGGTTGGGGAATGGTAGGTTGGAGAGTGGTAGGTTGGGGAATGATAGGTAGGGGAATGGGAGGTTAGGGATAAGGAGGATGGTGCCTGCAGTAATGCCCCCTTAACCCCCTTGGTGTGGTACTTGTAGTCATACCCCTCTCCCCCCCCCCCCCCCATATTCTGGACCAGCACCCAGAAGAAAGTAGAAACAAAAAATCCATGAGATTCCTACCTGGCTGAAGTGTTCTCTATCAGCTCCAAGGTGCGTGCCAGAGCCAGGTATGGTACTCTGTGGACAAGAGAACAGATGGCATTAAAGTGAGGCTGGGGTGATGGTGGTGGTAAAATTATGGGGTCAAGGAATGTGGGTCAGTGGTCAAATTATGTGGGTCAGTTGTCAAATTATGTGGGTCAGTGGTCAAATTATGTGGGTCAGTTGTCAAATTATGGGGGTCAGTGGTCAAATTATGTGGGTCAGTTGTCAAATTATGTGGGTCAGTTGTCAAATTATGGGGGTCAGTGGTCAAATTATGTGGGTCAGTTGTCAAATTATGGGGGTCAGTTGTCAAATTATGTGGGTCAGTTGTCAAATTATGGGGGTCAGTGGTCAAATTATGTGGGTCAGTTGTCAAATTATGGGGGTCAGTGGTCAAATTATGTGGGTCAGTTGTCAAATTATGGGGGTCAGTGGTCAAATTATGTGGATCAGTGGTCAAACTATGTAGGTCAGAGATGGAAGCAGTCAAATTATGTTCCTTTTTAAAAAAATTCCAGTTGTGTGCAGTTGTTAAACAAGTGCTTGTGATGTCTCTTGAAGGTGTTAAACAAGTGCTTGTTCCTAATGTGAATGTTGGCCTGATGGCTAATGATAGCTCATGAAATAAAGCCTGTCTCTACTCACTTCTCTTTGTGTTCCCAGAATGCATCCTCCACTGGATTATACTTTGTCTTAGACGGATCATAATCAGCTCCAGGGTCATTCTTCTTGCTGCCCTCCAGACTCAGCCTGCAAACAAAAGTTAATGTAATGTTGAAACAAGACTGAAACAAAAGCAGGCATGGGGCTACAGTGTTGCCCTTCTACTAGTACAGCTAATGGTGGTTGCAGCTGTTATCAAGTTATCCTGCTGGATAAACTGTTGGTCACAAGGTCAGGTCTGTTGCTTGCAAGGTCACACACAAGGTCAAATGCCGCTCACAGGGTCACACACAAGGTCAAGTTTGTTGCTCACAAGGTCACAGGTCTTTTGTTTAAAGGTCAAAAATATGTTGGTCAAGGTCATACATCTGAGGGTCACATATCTGAGGGTCACATATCTGTGGGTCACATATCTGATGGCCACATATCTGTGGGTCACATATCTGTGGGTCACATCTGTCACCACAACTCCCCCAGCAGGCGCCTGTCAGACGTGTGGAGGGTCACCACATTCATCTCACCGCCGCCAGGGACTGATGTTTGGATACAACTCTGTGCGCATGCGTATGTCGTTCGTCGTGGTATCCCCCTCCTCCCCGTGTACAAATGGGTTTGTCCCGGGTTACATTGTGAGTAATCCACGGCAAAAAGTTTTCATATAGTCCCAGTGCACGTGTGGGATGGGTAGGCCAGTTAGTGGCGGCAAACATGGTGACACGTCACTCAAACATGTGGTGACACATCACTCAAACATGTGGTGACACGTCACTGAAACATGTCTACTGGTGACACATCACTCAAACATGTCTACTGGTGACACATCACTCAAACATGTCTACTGGTGACACATCACTCAAACATTTCTACTGGTGACACATCACTCAAACATGTGGTGACACATCACTCAAACATGTCTACTGGTGACACATCACTCAAACATGTCTACTGGTGACACATCACTCAAACATGTCTACTGGTGACACATCACTCAAACATGTCTACTGGTGACACATCACTCAAACATGTCTACTGGTGACACATCACTCAAACATGTCTACTGGTGACACATCACTCAAACATGTCTACTGGTGACACATCACTCAAACAGGTCTACTGTTGACACATCACTCAAACATGTGGTGACACATCACTCAAACATGTCTACTGGTGACACGTCACTCAAACATGTGGTGACACATCACTCAAACATGTCTACTGGTGACACATCACTCAAACAGGTCTACTGTTGACACATCACTCAAACATGTGGTGACACATCACTCAAACATGTCTACTGGTGACACGTCACTCAAACATGTGGTGACACATCACTCAAACATGTCTACTGGTGACACATCACTCAAACATGTGGTGACACATCACTCAAACATGTGTTGACACATCACTCAAAAATGTCTACTTGTGACACATCACTCAAACATGTGGTGACACATCACTAAAACATGTCTACTGGTGACACATCACTCAAACATGTGGTGACACATCACTCAAACATGTGTTGACACATCACTCAAAAATGTCTACTTGTGACACATCACTCAAACATGTGGTGACACATCACTAAAACATGTCTACTGGTGATACATCACTCAAACATGTGGTGACACATCACTCAAACATGTCTACTGGTGACACATCACTCAAACATGTGGTGACACATCACTCAAACATGTCTACTGGTGACACATCACTCAAACATGTCTACAGGTGACACATCACTCAATCATGTCTACTGGTGACACATCAATCAAACACGTCTACTGGTGACACATTACTCAAACATGTGGTGACACATCGCTCAAACATACCTACTGGTGACACGTCACTCAAACATGTGGTGACACATCACTCAAACATGTCTACTGGTGACACATCACTCAAACATGTCTACTGGTGACACATCACTCAAACATGTCTACTGGTGACACAGCACTCAAACATGTGGTGACACATCACTCAAACATGTCTACTGGTGACACATCACACATCACTCAAACATCAGACGACTGAACGTGACACAAGCACACAAGAATCAGACGACTGAAAGTGAAGCAGACTTTCAATTTTTATTTTTCAACCAACCCAAGTCTGTAAAGAAACCTTTGGGGAACTGAGACTCGAGTCAGTCTCCAAAGTCTAATTGAAGAAAAACTGGACAGTGGACGTTTGGACAGATCGTATTTACATTGGCTGGACCAAGCAGTGTACGCCCGGGGTGGGGGCAAAGAAAGGAGGACCAATAGACAGAAACAAATAACAATCTCCACACTCGAGGAGAAGAGTTTAGAGGGTATGTTGTGTCTGTAGAGGAGGGGGTGTCTTCAGGGGAGCGGGGGTGCCTACAGGGGAGCGGGGGTGCCGTCAGGGGAGCGGGGGTACCTTCAGGGGAGCGGGGGGTGCCTTCAGGGGAGCGGGGTGCCTTCAGATGAGCGGGGCTGTGGAGTGAATGACCTATTTCAAATAACTAGCTTTGTGTTAGCTCTTGTTTTTTCTCTCCAAATTAATCCTGTTAGTCTCCGTAAGGGGTAGAGGGTGGTGGGCTGATTGTAGGATTGGAGGGCTGATTGTAGGATTGGAGGGCTGATTGAAAGATTGGTGGGCTGATTGTACGATTGGAGGGCTCATTGTAGGATTGGTGGGCTGATTGGAGGATTGGTGGGATGATTGTAGGATTGGTGGGCTGATTGTAGGATTGGTGGGCTGTTTGGAGGATTGGTGGGCTGATTGTAGGATTGGTGGGCTGATTGTAGGATTGGTGGGCTGATTGTAGGATTGGTGGGCTGATTGTAGGATTGGTGGGATGATTGTAGGATTGGTGGGCTGTTTGGAGGATTGGTGGGCTGATTGTAGGATTGGTGGGCTGATTGTAGGATTGGTGGGCTGATTGTAGGATTGGTGGGTTGATTGTAGGATTGGTGTGCTGATTGTAGGATTGGAGGGCTGATTGAAATATTGGTGGGCTGATTGGAGGATTGGTGGGCTGATTGTAGGATTGGTGGGCTGTTTGGAGGATTGGTGGGCTGAATGTAGGATTGGTGGGATGATTGTAGGATTGGTGGGCTGATTGTAGGATTGGTGGGTTGATTGTAGGATTGGTGTGCTGATTGTAGGATTGGAGGGCTGATTGAAAGATTGGTGGGCTGATTGGAGGATTGGTGGGGTGATTGTAGGATTGGTGGGCTGATTGTAGGATTGGTGGGCTGATTGTAGGATTGGTGGGCTGTTTGGAGGATTGGTGGGCTGATTGTAGGATTGGTGGGCTGATTGTAGGATTGGTGGGCTGATTGTAGGATTGGTGGGCTGATTGTAGGATTGGTGGGCTGATTGTAGGATTGGTGGGCTGATTGTAGGATTGGTGGGCTGATTGTAGGATTGGTGGGCTGTTTGGAGGATTGGTGGGCTGATTGGAGGATTGGTGGGCTGATTGGAGGATTGGTGGGCTGATTGTAGGATTGGTGGGCTGATTGTAGGATTGGTGGGCTGATTGTAGGATTGGTGGGCTGTTTGGAGGATTGGTGGGCTGATTGGAGGATTGGTGGGCTGGTTGGTGTTGGGGCTAACTTAGCGTATTGGGGGCTTATTGGGTGGACGGTTGGCTTATTGTGTAACCAGTAAGATGATGGGGTTATGTTGGGCCGATTGGTAGCATGCAACCTATTAACGGACAGTTCATCAAATTTCCAATCAAAATGTACTTTGAAAGCTTTATGTAAAATTTTGGCAAAGTAATGTAACAAATCTGCTGTCTACAAAAACTACAATAACACTAGCACACAACACACACAAAAACACACACACACATACACACAAACACATACACATCCTCACACAAAAACACATCCACACACAAAAACACATTCACACAAACACACATCCCCACACACTGACTTCCACCCCCACCTTAACTAAATCGTGTGACTGACCCTTGCCACCTTAAGTCAGTGTTTGAAATCAGGCAGGCTGAGTCTGACATCTGCGCTCGTCTAATCGTACGACCCCTACAAACCCTAGAACCCCCATCGGGTTCGTGTGCTTGTGACAGGATGACTGCACCAGATTCTCGTTTGGTTTATTCACAGCGCAGGTTTTATTTGGGGGACAAAACTTTCACATTTGGGGGACAAAACTTTCACATTTGGGGGACAAAACTTTCACATTTGGGGGACAAAACTTTCACATTTGGGGGACAAAACTTTCACATTTGGGGGACAAAACTTTCACATTTGGGGGACAAAACTTTCACATTTGGGGGACAAAACTTTCACATTTGGGGGACAAAACTTTCACATTTGGGGGACAAAACTTTCACATTTGGGGGACAAAACTTTCACATTTGGGGGACAAAACTTTCACATTTGTGGGACAAAACTTTCACATTTGGGGAACAAAACTTTCACATTTGGGGGACAAAACTTTCACATTTGGGGGACAAAACTTTCACATTTGGGGGACAAAACTTTCACATTTGGGGGACAAAACTTTCACATTTGGGGGACAAAACTCACATTTGGGGGACAAAACTTTCACATTTGGGGGACAAAACTTTCACATTTGGGGGACAAAACTTTCACATTTGGGGGACAAAACTTTCACATTTGGGGGACAAAACTTTCACATTTGGGGGACAAAACTCACATTTGGGGGACAAAACTTTCACATTTGGGGGACAAAACTTTCACATTTGGGGGACAAAACTTTCACATTTGGGGGACAAAACTTTCACATTTGGGGGACAAAACTTTCACATTTGGGGGACAAAACTTTCACATTTGGGGGACAAAACTCACATTTGGGGGACAAAACTTTCACATTTGGGGGACAAAACTCACATTTGGGGGACAAAACTTTCACATTTGGGGGACAAAACTTTCACATTTGGGGGAATAAACTCACGTTTGGGGGACAAAACTTTCACATTTGGGGGACAAAACTTTCACATTTGGGGGACAAAACTTTCACATTTGGGGGACAAAGGCAAAGGTTTATATTTGGGGAACAAATTAAAGGTTCACATTTGGAATGAGGGGAATAAAAGATTATATTTTACAATAAATATTTAAATTATT